TAGAAGCTTAGCATTTCCTACAGGTTCCCTACAACATCTCTGTATAAATAACAACAGAACCCAGATGGATCAGTTCACTCCCCCTCCAGTGACTTACAGGATACTTAAGTACTTCACTTTATAAGGACTGGATTGTTTCTGCCCCTGGGCAAGAAACCTAATTTAGATGCCTATATTAGTTTCACTGGATCTGAGCCACAGTGTATTCAATACTCAAAGACTATGCATTATCCTACTGATGTGATCTGCAAGCCTCTGAAAGCGATATTATTAGAAGTGTTGCAGAGAGAAAGGCAATAATATCTGTGCTTTACCCTATGCTATTTTTTAGCTTTCATAGTTAATCAATGATCTACTATTACAAGCAGTTGCAAAAAACAACCATTATAAACACAGCACACTAGTGGAGTACAAGTTATCTTTAACTTAACCATTTCTGCAAGTAAATATTTGTGCTCTTTTTATCACGTACATCTTTGCAGAGAAACATTAAAACATAACACCCTCATTCTTTAATACTAGATGCTATTCTAGGCACTCAGTATCATGTGTTAACTCCTAACTCTTGCTTGTAAATTCCTTCAGCAGCCCAACTGTCATTAGCAACTTCTCACACTCTTAAGAAACGCCATAAAAATAATGTTCTGCCCAACAGAAGCTGCACATATTCTTGGCTCATGCTGTAGCCTCAACATTAACAGATACATTACACTGTGTACAGACAATCAGCAAAAACAAGCTTTTCATCTTAGTAAATGTGTTTACATCACTAGTAAACAAAATAGGGCTAGGCAGAGGCTCAAACATGCTGATGAATTGCATTGAATGTTTCCAGGTACAGCTTGAGTCAGGGAATGGGAGATAGAAGCACCGAAGAAACCATTCTGTTTTGGGAAAGGAGGAGAGAAAGATAAGGAGAATTCAGTGGTATAGATATAAACTCTTCTATACTGTTTGCCTTCATGGACAGAACTTAATGTTTTAGCTTCAACTGCAGATGAGGTTAGACTGTTGACTATACAGAATTAGCGAGGATTCAGATGAACTGTTTTGCTCCCTGAGCTGTGGGGATGGTAATCACTACATCACGTGTCATGGGGAAGGTAATCATTAGATGATGGATCAGGACAGCCATCAGGGAACCAGGTGAGAACACCTTTAGCTATTCTAGCCAGATCTTAATGGGTATATCTTTCCGTAACTATAGATTTTCACCTCTAACTAAAAGGTTCACAAGAACATTCTACTATAGAAGAATGAAATAAATGTATATGTATATGTATATGTATATGTATATGTATATCCATGCAACAATATATGCTGGGGGCCACCCAGCTGGAAGGCAGCTTGGCAGAACAGGAGCCAGCAGTGTGCCCTTGCTGCAAAGAAGGCTAACAGTGTTCTGGGCTGCATTAGACGAAGTATTGCCAGTAGGTCAAGGGAGGTGATCCTTCCCCTCTACTCAGCACTGGTGAGGCCACACCTGGAGTGCTGTGTCCAGTTCTAGGTTCTTCAGTACAAGAGAGATATGGACATATTGCAGAGAATTCCATGAAGGGTCACGAAGATGGTGAAGGGACTAGAGCATCTCTCCTATGAGGAAAGGCTGAGAGAGCTGGGATAGTTCAGCCTGGAGAAGAGAAGGCTCAAGGTGGATCTTACTAATGTGCATAAATACCTGAAGGGAGGGTGGAAAGAGGATGGAGCCAGGCTCTTTTCAGTAGTGCCCAATGAGAGGACCAGAGGCAATGGGCACAAACTGAAACACAGGAAGTTCTGTCTGAACATCAGGAAACACTTTTATACTGTGAGAGTGACTGGGCCCTGGCACAGTCCTTGGAGGTATTCAAAAGCCATTTGGACACAGTCCTGGGCAACTGGTTCTAGGCGCCCCTGCTTGAGTAGAGGTGTTGGACCAGATGACCTCCAGAGGTCCCTTCCAACCTCAGCCATTCTGTGATTACATATATGTTTATCATATCATGTCAAAAAAGACATATCCACAAACTGCCTTTAGTGTTTTTGCTTTGTTTTACATGTATTAATTTGATTTTTTAAAAGATTAAAATGGTTTTATTCAAATTTCATTGAAAAATGCTGCTAAAAATTGAGGGCAACTATGGTACCTTTTAGCCACAAAAATTAGCTTAGAGTTTTTGAACTACTGACAAAATAAAATGTCAGCTTAACAATATTTTTTGTTTGTTTCTTGTTTGTTTGTTAACTTACTCTGTGAAGAATGCTATTAAAAATCACAGGAAAAAATATTTATGATAAGCTTGTAAATGAACAATTCAAGTAAATAATCTAAAATACTTAAGCATTAACAAGGTTTAAGGCTCCCACCAAATTTTTACTGTCCCTGAATCCTTTAAGAGTGAAAATGAACATAAATTATGTTTTCTGTACAGATCAACACAAAATATTTGGAACACCTATTGAGAGGAATTAACTAAATCTTACCTATTACAACGTGAAATAATTCCTTATATTGGTCAAGACACCAATCTTTCTAGTTTGACTTGAATGAAGAAGTACAAACTGTTTTAGTTTAGCAGACGGTTTCAGGCAAATCAAAGGAGCAAAGTTAAACTAAAGTTCTATGGCAACGTTGCAGGTTCTATTATTTCATTTGCAGCTTCATGATACTTTCCTTTTAATAGGTAAATACTGATTGGCTTCTACTAAATTCTTCTATTGAATTTTGAATTACATTGTTTGATGCGTGGCCAGCAGGTGGAGGGAGGTGATTCTGCTCCTCTCTTCTGCTCTGGTGAGGCCCCACCTGGAGTACTGTGTCCAGCTCTGGAGCCCTCAGCAGAAGAAAGTCATGGACCTGTTGGAGCGGGTCCAGAAGAGGGCCACAAAAATGATCAGGGGGATGGAACACCTCTCCTATGAAGAAAGGCTGAGAGAGTTGGGGTTATTCGGCCTAGAGAAGAGAAGGCTTTGGGGAGACCTTCTTGCAGCCTGTCAGTACTTAAAGGGGGCTTATAAAAAAGATGCCAGCAAACTTTTTATCAGGGCCTGTTGCGACAGGACAAGGGGGAATGGCTTTAAACTAAAGGGGGGTAGGTTGGCGGGTGGTGAGCAATTGTACTGTGCATCACTTGCTTTGTGTGTTATTATTATTATAGCATTATTATTATTATTGTTATTGTTATTATTATTTTATTTCAATTATTAAACTGTTTTTATCTCAACCCACGAGTTTTTCTCACTTCTACTCTTCCAATTCTCTCCCCCATCCCACCGGGGGTGGCAGGGAGGCATGAGCGAGCGGCTGTGCGGTACTCAGTTGCCAACTGAAGTTAAACCACAACAACATGCAATTAGCAGTGCAGAGGTAAGCAAAGTATGTGGTGCCTAGATGAAGTAAAGGATTGGAGGAATGCAGCTAAATTTATGAGCCATACATTTAGAATTTGTAGTGGGATTAGAAGCTTCCTAACATAAAAGTAGTTTGAAATCTTGCCTCCAAATTATTTCAGCTGATACTTTATATACCACAGAATCATAGAATCATAGAATCACAAAATCATAGAATTACAGAATCATAGAACAGCCCAGGTTGGAAGCAACTTTGAAAGACCTTCTGGTCCAACCCTTCATGGGAAAGGAAGTCTAGATGAGAATGAGACCATTACATACCTTACACATATACATACATTACCTGATATTTTACACAAGGTTATTGAAAAGGAAAGTAATCTTTTAAATCTTGGGTCTATTTTTCACCATTTTCAGCAATTTACAGAACAAACAAAATAGTTGTATTCCTTTCATCTGACTTATGTCTATAGCTTCATTTAACTCCATAGTGGTAGATCTTGCAGATATGAATTATAAAGAAAATTATTACTAAGAACTAGGGCAGGGACCAGTAACCAACAAAGCCTCTTTCTACACAATAAGAGCTAGAGGTGAGGCTGATGTGTGAACGTTTAAGTTATCTTTTCTAAGTGCTTGGCAGATTTAAAAAAACACTTTAAAGACTGCAGTAATGCACAGTATTGTGTGCTAGCTTCTCAACTGGCGTATCTATGAAAAATAAACAGCTAACATTTCTGACAAGGAAACCTTTAACTTTGTCATATTTGACTGTTTCCTTTGTAGCACATTTTATATTGGAAAGTAAAACGAAAAAAACCCCACCCAACCACCTGGTCTAGTTAATTCAGGAAAACCTTCAATGAAGAAGACTGCTTAGCCTCTGAAAAACTTGCTGAAGTGGTTCACTGCTTTCCAAGTGATTCGCCGCCCAGCCAATCTCCAACCTGACCTGTCCATGCTCACCTTGGGGCGTTTGCCCCTTCCTACACTTTGTGGTGCTCCCAAGAAGAATTTGGTTCCATGATCTTCCCTTCAAGAAGTCTTAAGTTGCTATTAGGTCATGGCTTAGCCTTCTCTTCACCAGACTAAACAAGCCCGCTTCCTCAGCCTATCCTCTCCTAGCTGACATACCATCTTGGTAGCCCATCACTGGACCTTCTCCAGTTTCTTCCTATGCCTTTCAAATTGTGGAGTGCAAAATTGGAAACAATATTCCAGGTGCAGCCTTAGCAGCACCAGGTATTATGGGAATAATAACTTCATATGGCCTGCTGACAGAATTTTTCCTGATGCAGACCAATATGCAGTTTTCCTCATCCATGCTGTTGGTTCATACTCAGCCCAGTATCTGTCATAATCCCCAGTTTTTTTTTCTGAGAATATTTACTATTCTGCCTGTCCTTAGCATGTTATGATATCTGCAGTTATTCCTCTTCAGTTTCACAACTCTGCACTTCTTGGGTATCTGTTGGCCCAATCCTCAAGTTTATTGAGGTCACTCTGGATGAAGGGCTGCTATTCATTTTTTCTAATTCTGAACAGCTTTGCTTTTAAACACCCAGAGTATTCAGCAGTTGCAGATTATAAACTGATGACAGTTTTCACAGTAACAGTGATATTATTGTTGTTGTTGTTGTTGTTATTAAATAATAATAATTAAAAAATACCTGTGGTGGAAGCAGTGGTAATCTGATATAAGCAAGTAGCATACTTAGGTCATTGCATCGCCTCTGCATATCATACTTCACCCACATCATTAAGGCATGGAAAATGGTCTCTTCATCAGGAACGTTCACATCATCACTAGCAAGAAGTTTATGGAGTTCTTCAGCTGGTAGAAGTAAAAACTCCTGATTTCTTATAACTTCCATTATATTCTCCTGAGAAGAAGAAAGTATTTCAGATTTAGTAATACTGGAAGAAAATAAAAGCAGCTGTTAAAGCTAATAAACCCATAGGATTAGTCAATATCTGCCACACCCAGCCCTCCTACAGCTCATGAGAAAAACAAACCAAAGATGATTAGAATATATTCAGAAAACAATATGAAGATTATATGGTAATACTGTAATTAAAAATTGTCAGAATTAGTAAAGACTAGGGCAGGTCTGCATATTGTTTGAAATTTTTATAAACTCAGTTGTAATTGAGCACATTCAATATATTGTAAACCTTTACATGCACATACTACATTTTCCTGTATTTTTTTCACCATCTGATCTACTTCTTAAATAACTCGTCAGTCATATACAGTTATATTATCAATATCCAGACGATGGCTGTCTATACATATGACAAGGCTGAGAGGAAGATGAACACCATGAACTCAGTATTCTTTCTTGAATTTGTTTAGAACAGGTTGTTAACATCCAGCTAACATGCAAAATGTATACAGCAATTAAAATCTCATAGTATTGAAATTTATAATACATATAGGGATAACTATAAAAAACTAACCAAAAACTATATAAACTATATAAAACCATACAGATATAAACTATATAAACTAAACAAAAATGTTTCATTTAGTTGACTGAATCCTAAGAACTAAATTAAGCACTCTCTGAACTACCTACCCTACATTAACAGGACACAACAGAAGCACAGTTCTGCAGGGTATCTTTCTCCAAATATTTCTTTTAGGATGCTTGATCTCTGTGGAGAAATTGCAAATGTGTTCTCATATTCTTGATTCATAGACAATTGTAAGAAGAAAGTGAAGTAGGTATAGACTGGAGGCACAAGACCCTCCTCCTGGAAAAAATCTAATTTTTGATAAAAAACAAAAATGTAAAAAGCGTTGGAGGGAGAAGTAAGTTACAATATCTGATAGATAAAAGATAATAATGAATTTTATAATGTTATTTTGGATAGACTTTGTGAGAGTAAGATGAGAATCATGGAAGGAATGACAAAACATGTCAAAGACTTAAGCGTAAGAACATCAAAATTGAGGGAAGTGTATAATTCCACTGCTACACCCACTCAATTCAATTCTTAGCATATCAAAATTCAAATTAATGCTCTCTATAATTGCTTGTTTGGGTGTGGGCCAGGGGAAAGACTAACTGGTCATCAGGAACTGAAATAAGAGTAACACAGTATTACTGAGACAATGTAACTAATACAGAAAAAAATGGTGCAAGACTTAAAACAACAGAATTATACTCTGGCCCTAGTAAGTCACATGTTGTCCTCCCCCGCCCCATGCAATACAAGGAAATTATTATTTTAATTCTCCAACATCATATTTTTTGAAAGTTACTGCTTAAAAGAATCTATTAAAAACTAACTGCATATTATTTTATATAAGGTAGCAGAGATGAATAATACAGACATAGACATGACAAAATCATGACAGACAGTTCACTGAAATGTGTAATGTAATTACACATCACATACATATGTGCAAATAGAATAAATCAGCTAAAGCTGAAAGTGATGCTTATTATTATGAATGTGAATACTTTCACATGTAAAACTTAACTTTCAATGAGTAACTTTTTAACTCTACATATACACCTAAAACCAGATGCTGACACAACAATCAAAGGTATATATATTGTCATGGTCTGTATTAACCATGCTGTTAAGTTATCTTTACATAACTGATAATTAGATCAAAACATGACTCAGTTCTTTTTTTTTAAATTGCTTGATTAAATGTCAATAGGTACCTAAAAAAATAGATTTTTATGGCCTAAGGTTTAAATCTGTTGACTCCTGATAAAGTTTAAATTGTGTGACTAGAACATTGTACAATAGATTGGAAATGTAAAGGAACTAGTTTGCAGGCACTTAACCACAAGTTGGCTTAATTCATTTTAATTAAAAAGCCATAAAACTCAGAAAATTTCATTGTACTTCTCAATAAAAGGATTTATAAGCCAAAGTTTAATTAAGGCTGGTTAAACTGACATTAAATCCCATTATGAAAAAAATATAACTCTACTTCTTAATAGGAACCAACATCAAACTTTGCAATAGCATATTAATTCAATGACCTAGTATTACTGAGAAGCATTGCAATGGTGGAATACATTTTATGAACTCACAGAACTCAATTAACTTTGAATAACGCTCAGAGCAGGGGCTCTAAATTCAGAATAATAATTTCAGTTTTGATTAAGATTTTTATCATTTTTAATTGTCTTTTCATTTGGATATATGCTTAAGGAGAACTTATGCCAGCCTCTGTACTGATTTATGTTGACTGAAAGTAGAATCTAACAAAGTTTTCAGACAAACCATATGAGCTCAAATCTGTTCTAAACATCTGGACTTACACTAGTTTCATGTTACTCAGGGCTGAGTACTGTAGAAAATGCTATTTAATAAAGATAATTTATATAACTGTAACTTCTGTATATATATACATTTATATGGTATATTTATATATATTGTATATATAAAAACCAGCAATAAAATCCAGGTTCTTGATCTTCAGAGCTAAAAACTCTCTCCTTCAAGTATTTAGCATTTCCTAAATTGACTATTGAATGTTTAGAACTTCCTAGATGACATTTTAATGTCTTGAGATTCATTTCATTTGGAGCAGCAAAACATATTTCAATGGCTTGCTGTTTTATTATAACAGAAATAATTTATTATATGCTTATTGTGGAACAATACCTGCCTTTCTTTTAAAATATAATTGGTCTTCATTTTTGCACTTTAGGGAACAGGATACAAAAGATGCTTGCTATCTACTGGTTAAAATTTTCAGGATAAATGAATTATTAAATTTGAAATTCTCCTGAAATTAAGGTGCAAGCTAGGAATTGAGCTACTCAGTCCCGCTCTAGTGAAGTGCTTTCAGGAATGCTTCGGTCTTCACGCGCTGAGAAACATTAATTTTGAGAATAAGGATACTCAGTATTTAAGCATGTCCAGGATTATGTGACAGAGGTGTATGAGTTTTCAGGACCTGTAAGTTTTGACTCTGATACTTAAGAAGCTTTGTAGATCTGGTCTTCACTGCCTCATAAGTCTCATAAGATCAACTGGGCTGTGACTAATGCCTCTCCTGCATGGGTCATTCACTTAGCCTTTCCCTTCAGCAAGAATTGTAATGTTTTAATTAAGTAGAGTAGTGGATTTTTGCTTTTAACTTAGAAAAGGTAACTTACAGTAGAAAGTAGGAAAGTCTCTGAACCCACTTGGAGAAATCTATGTCTCACTTGGTTGCCCTTCCACTTTCTCAAAATGATCATGCAATAACCATTGCTATGGGGTCATAGCATTTCCACGGCAGAGCTGTTTCACTTTCAAACCTTTTCATCAGCACACAGTATTAGAATTAAATGACCATAAAGTATCAGCACAGTAAAGTCATGTAAACAAAACAAATCTGTAGATAAGCAAGCACGTGAGTATCTAACAGATTGTGCATCATAGGAACATAAATGCTCTAATGAAATTAAACTACTACCAAATGGAATTTAATAAAAAATAAATTCTGCTACATATATCCTTATAACGATGTTATCAATATAAATGAATTTGATTTTTTATTTCAATCAAGACTTGTAATGATCATTATTTCACATGGAATCAAATTATCTTACAAAAGTTAGTTCTCATTGCTGTTTATGTCATTGATTTCACTAATCAGCATGTATCAGTTATAAAGAAGAGCCTGAGAATAATTTATTCAGTGTTAGAAAAAATATGAAATAATTTCATACCTTGGCAAACAATGTCATGTTCTGAGAGTGCTATTTAGAACCTGTTACATCAGAGTTGCTGTGGCAGTAAAATGCTTAGCAGTTTTTTTGGTTTTGGATGTAGGGGTCTTATTTAGGAAGTTTTACATTTTATTGATTTAATAAATCAAAGGCCACATCGTGCTGTGGCCTTTCCAATATGAAAATGAGAAACACATAAGATAATGCTGAAAAAAAGGTATCTGTACACTAGCCTTTCACTTAAATAGTAAATGGCTAGTGTCAATGAATATTTTAAGACCACACTGCTTTTAGTTTAGAACCTAAGTTTTCATGAGAACTTTTAAATAAATGAATAAATAGCGCATCTGATTTTCATATTAAATCATATAGTATAGTTTCTGAAGTGCTAAAGACCTGAATGCCAATTTTGATTTTTGTCAAGCCCCAAACTATTTCAGTCTGGAATTATTGCTGCTGTGCTACATTGAATTCAGCCCTCTTGTTTCGTACACCTGGTTTTCCCTATCAGCTGTGTATCATACAAGACTACATCCCCTTTGCAAAAACTGTCCTATCGTGTATCTTCTTTCCTAAGGAGAATGGGCTTTTCAAGTTCCTGAACTCCCATTAGACAAAGGACCAGCACTGATGAATATGCTTATGGTCTGGTTCTCTAGCCAAATCCCAGATTTTATCTGAGAGCGAGCTCCATCTGCCCTATGTAATCCAAAAAGCTACATGTTTCTTCCAGTACCAGATGCCAGTCTGATGTGACCATTACAAAAGGGGTATAAGGGCTGGGGCGTTCAAAGGATAGCAGCTAGTGGAAAGAGTCTGAACTTTGTCAGTGGGAAGAGAGATCAGCAGCTGCTGCTTTTTGGGGAGAGCAGACAGCAAGTTGAGGATAGAAGAGACTTTGGCTATGGATACCAGCTCACACAGAAAACTGTAATCTTAATAGAGGCTTCTAGATGAGAACGTTACACTACCACAATCTAAATATTTTCCTTTTTCACTTGCAACTTTTTTTTTTTCAAATTTTTTAGGTTTTAGGATATGACTCTGCAGAATTAGCCAGATTATAGACTAATCTATGATGAAAAAAATCATCATCAATATCATGCAGCATTCTGGGATTTTACAATCTAAATGTAGTTCATAACCAGTTGGTCACAGACGTTTGCTGATATGCCAGTTCATCACAATAAACT